CTGTCAACTGGGGGCAGTTGGCCTTCTTGTGGCCCCTCTGGTTGCAGTGGAAACACAGCAACTCAGACGTCTGAATAACAGGTGCAGGAGCGGTTAATCCCTGCTGAAGTGTCCCGTCTTGCCGCACTCTAGCAGCCCGACGATCCCAATCTACACGCCCCCTCATGTGGCCTGCCGCAATTCCTGCCTGCAGCGGCCCGGTCCTGACTGGCCTTTCGGCCTACCATCTGATCCCTTGGGCTTCTTCCCCGAAGCCCCAATCGTCTGCCCCTCCTCTACCTTCCTCTTCCGGACATGCTCTAGATCGATCTCCCTCTCCCTTGCCCTGGCAATCATAGAATCCAGGGTAGGGCAAGCTGAAAACTGACATGCTCCCGAATGTCGGCTCGCAACATGTCATGGTAGCGGGTCCTCCTCATATCCTCATCACCCGCATACTGGGGCACCAGTAACGCCCTCTCCCGGAACTGGCGGTGATCTCCGCCACAGTCTCCGTCGTCTGCCTCATATCCAAAACTCCTGTGGCATGCTGCTGAAGCTCTACAGCTGGCGCAAACTCTGCTCTGAACCGGGTCACAAAGTCCGACCATGTCATAGCCTCAACAGCCGAGGCTCCCAATGAGTCACCAACAGACTCCCACCAATCTCTAGCTCTGTCTCTCAAACACCCTGCTGCATATCTCACCTTCGACCCCTCGGGGCAGAAGCTGGTCAGCTGCGCAGACTCAATGTCTGCAATCCATCATCTGGCCACAATGGGGTCCGTCGCCCCGTGGAAGTCCATCGCACCACTGCTCCTGAATTCCTTAAAGGACAGTGTGCGAGGTCCTGACTGGCCAGATGCCATGTCACTCCTGAACGCCCTGAGGCGGTCCTCCATCAGCTCAACTATCCCTTCCTTGATCGACCCGAAAATGATTGGGGTCGACTCAAGGATGCCTCTGGTGATCTCTGACGCGATGAACTCGCGTAGCCTCTCATCCACTGGTTCGGAACCTGAACCCGAACCCGATCCCTCTCCCGAACTGCCAACTGCTAGCCTCGAACGTAGTACCACCATTCTGCAATACATAACGACAACTGTCAGTGGTACTGATACATCTTAGAGGGATCACATCTACTGCAAGGTTCCTGGTCTCTCGCCTCAGCTGCCTCAATTCAAGTACGGATCCTCTGCTTTCAGTAGTACGGGCCCATACTACCTTCCACATCTATCCGTACTTTCCTCAAGAACTGCCTTGACTCCACCAAGTCCCTTCTACTACTACTACTGATCTCATGCTACTCTCATCCTAGGCTTGCCCTAGGTAACCACCAACCCACTCTCCGTCATCAGCTGCATAAGAAGTCCCTGCTTTCTTCCCCTAACTAGCTCGCGAATACTATTACATATTACTCAGACTAGATAATTCTTCGAATGAGAGATCCTACCCTACAACGGTTGGACTCAAACAGAGCTGCGAAATAGGGCTACCCCAACCTTCTGGAATTATTTAGTCCTTGCAATATGTAACTTAACGTATTCGTTTACTAGTTAGTGAAAGACAGTTAGAACTCCTAAAAGCACAAGCAAGCAGCATTCAGACAAAGGAAACTACTCAAGCAAATCTATTTTAAACAAGAAAATCTAGCATACATGCTAAGCTCATACTATCAGGCATAACCTAAACAGCTATCCTACTACTGTTCTACTCAATACTAGCATGCAATTCTCATAAAGCTGAAGCACATAAAGCAGGCACATAAGGCATCATTCCTAGATCCTTAGTCCTATTCTAGCATGCAGTTCTACTGAAACTGGTAAATCATAATGAACTTATGGGTACTCTGGGGAAACTTCTTACTTGAGCTCGGCCGGTCGCGCACATCACACACCTTGTTCTTCTCAAAACTCTTTTACTTTACTTAGCCTTTAGAAATCATTTCTTTATAAAATCTTTTAATCCCTCGATTTGAGTCCAGACACCCCCGAGGTGTGTCCGAATCCCTCAAACCAGGGCTCTGATACCAACTTGTAACGACCCAATTTCACGTCCAAAAATTTCATTTTAATAAGTGATTTGTAAAACATTTGTAGTAAAATCATCCGATCATATCATTTCATAAATTATAATCTCGTGTCTGAAAAACCAAATCATAAAAATAATAATAATGTCAGAGTACAATCCCAGAACATCTCATAATGCGGAAAAACCAATGCATGTGTGTATGATGTGCCGCCGCTACCGCGCCAGCTCCTTCCCCTTCGCTGAAGAGGTACCTGAAACAAAACTGTAAACTGTAAGCACGAAGCTTAGTGAGTTCCCCCCCTCCCATCGTCCACATACAATACAATCATATAGCATACATACTGCCAGACATTTCTGGGGTGCCCGACCTACCCGGTACGACCATTCTGGGGTGCCGACGTACCCGTGCGGCTATTCTGGTGTGCCGTCCTACCCGTGTCAAGCCATTTTGGGGTGCTGACCTACCCATGTCGAGCCATTCTGGGGTGCTGACTACCCTTCGGTCCTACAACCGAACCTCGGGGACTATTTCACCTCTTACTACTACTGTCACATATATCATAGCAATATCTACTGTTAGACATATCTTGGGGTGGCCGACCTACCCTTCGGTCCTACAACCGAATCTCGGGACCATTCCTCCCTCTACAACTCTATCTCGTAAACATCATGCTAGCAGCTAAACATATCATAACATACTGTTAGGCATATCTGGGGTCCTAACCTACCCTTCGGTCCTAACAACCGAATCTCTATCACTATCACATATCATATCACGCTAGCATATAACATATCAGGTAGTAGCAACACAGATGAATATCACAAAGACAAACATCTATCATACGATCCCTACTGGTGGGCCGACATTGTGGCCGTAGACCCACCGCTACTGGAAGGTAACTCACCTCGTAAGGCTGCTGATCTGTGCGGGAACTCTCTATCTGCTGCTGCTGCTCCGGAAATCTCCGACCATAATCCCACAAAACACACATCAGAGTCTGATATCTACTCTTTGGGTAAAATGACCATTTTACCCCTGACAAGTCAAGTCAAGTCAAAGTCAACTTCCAGTTGACCTGACTCGCCGAGTTGGCTAGCCAACTCGCCGAGTCCCTAACCTTCCATTTGTCCTTATCCACGACTCTACACGTCGAGTTGGGCCGTCAACTCGACGAGCTCTTCTCTCATATGAACGTCACATGAAAACTCATCCGACTCGCCGAGTTGATGAACAACTCGTCGAGTCTACCTTCATCTGATGAACAAGATCTGTCCTCGACTCGCCGAGTTGATGAACAACTCGTCGAGTTCTAAGAAGATTGCCTTGGACTCGCCGAGTCTGTTCTAGCACTCGCCGAGTCCCATGAATTCCAGAACCATAGCTTAGTCCAGAACGTGGGTCACTCCCCGGGACTCCCCAAAAACCTTTCCACACACTCAACTGGGTCTTTTGACCCTCAACTGATATGGGACAGAACCCCAGGACTCGCCGAGTCCAAGAATGGACTCGTCGAGTTGGTCACATCCTTTCACTAAATCTTCGATTTCTGATGTACAACCCTTGATCAAAAGATAGATCTATGCTTCTACAATCGATCTAGCACGTAAAGTTATAACCTTTACGTGCTTGCATGAGACTTTGAGCTCAAAAGGTCCTAAAACAAGCTCTTACAATGCATGAGGCCTTCTTTGAGTGCAAAAGCCACTCCTTTTTGCCTTGTAACCCCTCTAAGGACCTAGATCCGAAACATCAACCCCAAACCATGCTTGTAATCATGGTTGGTGACCAAAATGGCTTAGAAAAGCCCTAGAACTTCACAAAATGGGATCTATCAAAAGAACAAACAAGGTATAGACTTTATACCTTCTGTAGACTGCAAATGATGCTCAAAATCGGATCCTTCTAGCCTCCTCTTGATCCTTCAAGCTTTTCCTTCCTTCCTTGGGTCACAAAAGCACCAAAATCACTCCAAATGCCTTAGATTGCTTCAATAACGGCTAGGGTTTCAATGAGAGGTGTTTGGGAGCATAAAGGGGCGATGGAGGCTGCATAAGGTCGTTTAAATAGGGTGCAAACCCTCGAGTTAGGGTTTTTGTCCAGACATGCCTACTCGCCGAGTCCGGGACCCGACTCGCCGAGTACATCACTTAAATCTCGCGTCCCGTCCCACTTCTACTCGGCGAGTTGGTCCCTCAACTCGCCGAGACCAAGGCAAAAAATGCATAATAATTAGATAGAAATACGTACCAAGAACCAGGTGCTACAAAATAATTCTCCGTTCTTATTCTTTTCTCTTTTCTTCTTCTTTATTAAGTTCATAGCGTGGGCACCCATGTGTTCTTATTCTTTTCTTCTTTTTCTCTTTTCTTCTTTTTTATTAAGTTCATAGCTTGGGCACCCATGTGTTCTTATTCTTTTCTTCGTTTTTATTAAGTTCATAGCTTGTGTTCTTATATTACATTGGTGTCCTTTATTAATATCTTCTTCTTTATTAAGTTCACAGCTTGTGTTCTTATTCTTTTCTTCTTTTTATTAAGTTCATAGCGTGGACACCAACGTAATATAAGTTTCTATACCTACATCTATATGTCTATTTTTTTTTTCAATGTAACTTAATACATATAATCATATATTCAAACATCATTATCAGTAAACAGTAATATATGTAAATATTCAAACATCATCATCAGTAATATATATAAATATAATATTCTTTTTCAATTTAATTTAGTACATGTAATCTTATGATATGATTATATGGATGTTTGGTATTTTAATTTTGAATATCTTTCTGTATTTTATAATTTTAAATTATTTATTATGTAATAATAACGTCATTGGGATCAAAAGAATCACTCTGATTGAACCAATTGAGCCGGTAAAACAAACGGTTCGTTGATCGGCCCGAATTTAAGCTAAAAAAAAAAGAAAAAAGAACAAGACACCATCCATATATTACTTGATAGATTTTTGTTTATTTTATGAATTTACAGTGAGCAACTACCCGTTGATCATGAAGTGAACTACATCACTACACAAGCTGTAGGGTTTTCATCACTAAACGCCGTCGTATACCTAATTTCAGGTGAACTCGCCCTAGCCAAATCCAACATCTCCGGATCCACCACTGCCGTGTTCCTGACGTACCCATCCGGCGCCCTTTTGTCATAAACCCCCGGCACGTAAGGATGTTCCACCGTGTCATATGGCACATACGGCCACATCTCCGCCTTCTTCCCTGTCCGGTGCCGGACTCGATACAACACCTTCCCTGGATCCACGTACCCCACCACCGTCAGCTTGCTTTTCTTTGGGTCCACATCCACCGAACTCACCCCTTTCATCCCTTCCACCGACTTCCGAACCCTCCTCTCGCATCCCTCACAGTCCATCTTGATCTTTATCTCCACCGTCTGACGTTAACACAATCAAACAATATCTTATTGGAGTAAGATTCATGGGGAGTGACTCTAATGAGAAGGGAAGAGTGAGACCTGAAGTTGGTTTCGTTTCTTGAGTTTCTCCCTGGAACGATGGATGCTGTGACAGGAATCGTAAAGTTCCGAGATACATGCTGCAACCCCCATGAGTTTGTAGAACAAGTAAAGATGGAAAGGTGAAATTCACTCATATGATGTCACAAGAGTGGGTTATAAAGGTGGCGGCTGATCGGAGGTGTCTGTTAGGTTTGGCCACGTGGGGACATGGGCTCTTGAACCATCCACCAGGTGGTGGAAAGTTCTTGGCTAGGTTATCGATCATCCCACGTCACTCGATTTCATGGGGGCATGTGCATACGTCTATCGAATATCAACATTCAATAGCTTTGTCATTTTTACTAAATAAATAACGAGTTTTGTTCATATTCATGTTATAGTTGTATTGTTAGAAATAATTATTAGTGGTATAAAAAAAAGGTAATCTAATCCATCCTAATAACTCAAAATGATTTATGTGATATGTCATGTTTTCTAAGTATTTGTCACATGTAATTTTTTTTAAGATTTTCTCCCTTTTCATTTTCTACTTGATATTTTTCGATTTTTCCATTTTCTTAAAATTAAAATCAAGAGTTGAGTGAATGTTTATATATAGCTAACGTACGTTTATATATTTAATGTATTTGGTTGTATTAAAATCTCAAATTAATTGCTATACAAACATCTATTTCCTTCTTTTTTTAAATCCCTGATATCATTCATCAATTACTTCAATTTCATAGCTAATCTTACGATAACAATTCTAAATTTAAACAATTATGAAAGAAAGAAATTCAATATAATGTTATATCAATCATGATATTTATGTAGTGTTATCCCTTCCAAAATACGTTTTCAAAATGATGTATATATATACAATTTCCTACTTATTGTAATGTTATTCTCAGTAGCCGAATTTATTTGGTTGTTCTATCTACACAAGGTTAGCAATTTCATTTCGAGATTTAGGATAAGTTTTATTGAATGTTATTATGTGTTATACGTGCATTTTGTTTTGATGATAACCATCTATTGCAAATCAGTTGATTATTTGAATATGCAAAGTCTATCTATTTTTGTTCTCTTTTTCATTTGTCCCTCTTGGTGTAAGTCAACTATTCGAAGCCTCTTGGATGTTGGAATGCATAAACAGTGTTCGATAGAATGTCTCAAAGAAAGAATTGTTGACACAAAATACATTTTAATTATTTGACATGGTTATCTTTTGGCTGCATTGTCTCTATTGACAGAAAAAGTTTAACTTGACTCATTTTGTTTTACATTAACTGGATTGGTCACTTTCTTATTGGTAGTTTGATCACTTTAGTCTTTTGGATGCATTTGTAGGACTAAACTCTTTGATATCTTATTCTCCCTAATAAAAGAAAATAACTTTTCCACTTGTCATCACCTTATTCAATATGCCACATGACACTTTTTCTATTATTCCAATTTCCTTTAATTTCACTTGACAATTTGAGATTATTTTGGCTTTTTTATTAACTCCGAAAAAAAATATAAGTTTACTGAAACTTGGGTCAATTTAAAGAAAATTGAATACCTCCTTAAATTCTCACGTAATTTGGCAAGGAATGTATTAAATTCAAATCAACATTCCTAATTGTCAAACAAAAAATTTGGTCAATCCCTTTCAAAATGATGCTAATTTAGAGAAATGTTTCAAAGATCGGTTCATTCATAGATAATATTTTGGAATACTGTATAACTTCAAATCAAACTTTGATATCCTTTTCATAATCATTTTTATAAATTATGTATAACTAGAGTCCCGTTCATCTGTTATCACTATTTGAAAGACTGAGTTTACAACAACGAATTCCAAAGCTCTACATCATCACAGTGGGAAATCTTCTATTTATTCACAGAGTTCAATCTTTCCGGTAAGTTTATAAAAAAACTACTTTCAATTTATTTGTTTATGTTTTGTTGTGTGTGTTCTGTTTTTCTCATTAGTTTCTGCGTTTTAGCGTGTATGAGTGTGTACGTGTGTGTGTGCGTGTTTAACTGTTTATGTTCATGTGTGCGTGTCTATGTTACTATGTGTGTTTCTTTATTCTAAAAAAAACTTTATTATGTGTGATGGTCGATTTCTGTTCCTGTATAGGTATGTTGCTTTTTTCTGAAAAATAAATGAAAAAACTATTTTATAGCATCTTATATTCAAAGTCATCCCAATTACAATACTATACTTTAACAATTATTGTGTATGGATGTGTGGGTAATGGTCGATTTATGTTCCTATTTGTGTGTCTATGTTACTATGTTTTTATTTTTGCGAGTGTGGAAAATCTTATTACTTATTGTTATTTGCATAAATTAACTTATTATACTTCACTTGATCATGTATACGCGACCTACTTTGACTAAAAATTACAATATGAAAACTCAATTTACATGTATTTGTATAGATTCAATCTACTTCCAATTCAAAAAAACATATACCTATTCTTGATGACATTAGCGGTTTCATTAAGCATAACAGGTACGAAGAAAAACAATCATGCTTACCTTTTTAATGAACTCATATCCATTGTACTCATAATTGTGTAACATCACAACTTCATCCCTTATTTGGTTTTGTATTTCCTCCCATTCTAGAACTTTTTAAGTAATCGATTTTTTTTGTATGTATAGCATTCCACATTCTTGATAAAGTATGGAGGCATAATCCAACAAAGACTGCATGGTACAGGCTAATCATTTTTAATTTTAAGTTCTACTATAACGACTTCTCATCTTTTTCACCTCCACCTTTTTTGGTTGTTAATCTTTCACTACATTCTTCAGGGAATTTACAATTTTCAGATTTTGTACTTTGGGCATTGCTGCAGAACCCACTTTGTTTTTTTGTTTTTCTATAAAAAAAAATCCATTTTATAGCAAATTTATTTCAAACTCGAAACCATTTACAACAATGTACTTTGAAAATTAACTGTTATGTGTGTTTATCTTTTTTTTTTGAATTTTATTTGATGTTTATCATTGTTTTTCTATTTTTCTGTAAAAAATCGTCAGCTTCACCCATCATGTTCTGTTTTGTAATTCTTTCAAACTCGAAACCATTTACAGCAAATTAACTATTATGTGTGTTTATGTTCAACTGTGTTGTTTATCTTTGTTTTCCTATTTTTCTGTAAGAATGTTGGTTTGGTGTGATGGAATAGAATCAGAAAAAGAAATGGAATGGTCTGTTATCATGTTATGTTGTGCTAATGTATTTATGTACCATAATGGCATAATAAGAAAAAACCAAAAATGAAAAGTTTTTTTTAGAAAAAAATTGATTTATACCGATTATAGCAATGTACTTTAAAAGCACATTGTTAAATTTAACCACTCATGTTATCTTTAATACTTTTGTAAAATAATATTTTTGTAAATTAATAATTTTTAATAATTATGATTTCTCTCTACCTGATTTGACAGTTTTACACATTTGGTCCATGATTGACCTAAATGTGTTTTATGCAATTGAAATTGTGTTTTCTGATGTTCATTACCACATTCTTGATCATATTAATGGAAAACATGAAGATTAGCATGATCAGTGAGTTGACTCTCTCACAAGATGACTATACCATTATGGTCCGTCTCATCCGTTTGTTGCAACAAACCTCCTGGAACCAACAAATCTGTATGACTAGCATGATATTGACGGACGAAAGTGTATGTTATAACTTAAATGTGTTAACTTACAATTATATGTATGTGTATTATAACTTACATATTTATATATCATTACATTTATTGTACGCTTATTAATTAATATTTTATTTTTTTACCTTAAGGGAACAAAAATTGAATGTATTGTGGACAAACCATTTGCCTCACTTTAAGGAAAATACTTGGTAGAATATGGTGATTTGTACATTCATAAACCCACATTAGTGTTAAATAAAGGTGCTATACAGTTTGTTTACGGTCCACACAAACTTTATTTCCAGTATACCACAAAGGTAACTAAATGCACAAATTTTTGTGGGCCACAAAATTCTTTTGCTTTTGCAAACTTCCAACAACTTCATGATAATGCAATCCAACCAAAAATTTCATTTGGTTAGTGAGTTCCTTTCGACCCATTCCTAATAGATTAAAATATTTATATTTCATTTTTTCCACCATAACAAATACATACTTACGCTTTTCCTTTTGTATAATATAGATGTTATAGGAAACGTTTTCCGGTGTTTTCCATTGGAACCTGCAAATGACAAAAAGGAAAAGAAAATAACATTCAAAATGGAGGATTTTGTGTGGGTTTCATTTTTTATACATATAATTATTTTTCTTATTATATTTTTTTAATATTTTTCTTTATTTTTACAGAGGACGTGAAGTTTTTATTACTCTATGGGGACGGTGCTGACGAAATTAATGCATATGTTTCTAAGCATCCTGGTCATTTTGTAAAAATAAATAAAAATGATTTGTGCCACATGTCATCTTCTCCAAGTATTTGCTAATATTTTCTGCATTTTTCATTTTCCACTTGACATTTTTGGTTTTTCCGTTTTCTTAAAATTAAATTCAACAGAGTAGGCTGAATGTTTATATATAACCAATCGTATGTTGATATATTTAATGTATTTGATTGTTTTAAAATCTCATATTAATTGCTATACAAACATTTCTTTCCTTCCTTTTTTAAAACCCTGTTATCTTTCATCAGTTACTTTAATTTCACAACTAATCTTCTGATAACAATTCCAAATTTATATAATTTTGTAAGAAAGGAATACAATATACTGTTATATCAATCATTCTATTTATGTAGTGTTATCTTTTCCAAAATATGTTTTCAAAATGATGTGTATATATATATATATATATATATATATATATATATATATATAATATATATATATATATATATATATATATATTATATATATATATATATGATTTCCTACTTATTGTAATGTTATTCTCAGTAGCCGAATTTATTTGGTTGTTCTATCTACACAAGGTTAGCAATTTCATTTCGTGAATTAAGATAGATTTTATGGAATGTTATTGTGTGTAATACGAGCATTTTGTTTTAACGATGACTTTCTATTGCAAATCGGTTGATTATTTGAATATGCAAAGCTATCTATTTTTGTTCTCTTTTCGTT